TAGAAGAAATCATTAAAATTATAGAATACTTACTAAACGGAGATAAATCGAGATGATGGTAAATACCATCCGTTTTTTCACGTGATTCTGTCTCTAGCACACGTTCTACATTTTGGATATCTTTCACATCAATATGTTGCCGGTGATCTTGTGTGGTATTTGATATCACTTTATAAGAGGCTACGCCTAAACGGATATCATGTGATACACGCAAAACAGTTGTTTCGGTAACTTCTTTTACAATTCTGTTCGACTTTTCCTGCGTAAAAGAATCATAACTTGTAGTACGAATATGTAACAAGCTTTATTGCAAAGATGACAAATACTTTGAAGTTGCTATAATCAGAAAAATGATCACGCTATTCGATATAAAGTCAAATAAAAATGGAAATAATGGCTAGATAAGAAATACACACACACACACACACACACACACACACACACACACACACACACATGCGTACACTGTAAAAAATTTATGTAAAATTTACAACTATTATAGTGGGTAATTTGAGACCCACTATAATAGGTGTAAATTTCCACACATTCTTAATTTGTGTAATTGTTATACAAAATTACTTTTTCCTTCCGTACTGTAATTTTGTAAAATTACAACTATTATAGTGGGTCTCAAAATTACCCACTATAATAGTTGTAATTTTACAGAATTTTTTTACAGTGTAATTCTCCTTTGAGATATAGGTTTGAGATATAGTTCTATCAACTGGATTATACGACATACATTAATAATTTTGTCCATTGTTTCCATTCGTGCCGTTGGTTTTATTCCGCTGATAGTGGAAATATTTGATGTTGCTTCAGCAAATTTTTGGTTTTCATTGTTCGGAGTAAAAATAAGGGGTGCAATATTTGTTAATTTAGGCTTTTCCATGGCCAACCTATAAATATTTGCAATATTCCGAATTAATTCCGAAAATATTTCGTTACAGTGTGTTGAAAGTAATTGCATCTTATTAATTTTAATTGACATTTAAGATCTTATTTGATAATTGAAATTAAGTAATTTAAATTCGCATAGATACCAAGTGTAACCAGAACATGTTACTATGGGTGTAATGATAGAAAGATCTTCGCATTCCGGCGATGTTACGAAAGATTCGCTTCTCGAACGCGGAGGTGGAGTTATTGAACATTCGGTCGCTGTTGTATAACCTTCCATGTTGTATTCTCCTGTTGCGCTTTCGCTATGAGAATTTTCGATCAATTCCTATAAAAAATAAAAAAGATGAAAGTATTTTGAAAATATTTAAGTGATTTTTTTAAAAGTGAAGAAAAATGAATATATCTGTAAATCAATATTAAAACACGTTATTGTACCTTAGTATTAAAATCTTTATTCAATGTTTCAACGTCTTCCACAGAATACGGTCGGATATGAGGTAAACTTCCATCAAATTTTTCCGCCGTAGAAGTAATGGATTTAATTGCATCAGATTTGATTCTTGTAGCTACAGTTTCCAAAGTTATTGGATGCATTTGAGGAATTACAGATGCGGCTGAAGCTGTCATACCAGACGTCAATGCAGTCGTGGTAGAATCCGTATGTATGGGCACGCTTAACGGCGACATAGCAGATATCGAGAGCAAGGACGAAGCAGAGGATGTCACAACGGTAGGAATAGACATTGGTCGAGTTTTAGCTCCAGCTTCGCATAGTCTCGCATCCAGTTTTTCCGCGAGACGCGTTACTTCCGCTAATTTCGCCGAGATAGCTTCGACAGCTGTCAGATTACCACCGAGGATTGAAGCATCCTCAGTTTCAGACATTCTAGAAAAGCGAATTTGTTGGTAAATATTCTATAAATACATACTTTCTTTCTAAGCTAGATATTTTTGAACGTTAATTTTTTAATATCTATTGTTCCAATGAGTTTCACGAGCTTTTCATGGTATTGTTGCTTTTTGTTGTTTTTTCATATTAATATTACTTTTATAGTTTTGTTACAGTTGCGCAAAATAACAATTAAAACATTCAATAACTATAAGTATTATATAATATATATATATCAAGTCACATGCATACATGTGTTAGTTTTATTTTTTTTTTGTCAGGTGTGTTTGTGTACGTATGTAAATAGTCTCTGCAATTTAGGACGAAGTTCTAATTTTGTAGCTCACATTTTCTTTACGAAGCGCCATAATTGATTGCTATGTTAAATCTCAAGAATGTCAAAGGTAGATTTTTATCAAAAAAATTTTTTAATACGTTATGATTTTTTATAGAGTGTTTACTTCTTTTTTTATTACTGAGGTAAACGTGCCAGAAATAGTCTTCGTGATGCAATACGGTAGGTGATTCTTCGTGACGCAAACCAGTTCGCCAAAATATTATCGAAACGAGATTCGCGTTACTAGTCGAGTTTTATGTTACGATGTGACCGTGGAACGAAGCCAATGGAATGTGGACCGCGGTATTTCATTATTCATGAATATTGTAACAATTTTTTATTATGTGCCCATTCAACGCTAAAAGCATCAACAAAATTTGTTAAGTAATCTTATTAAATTTTATAAAGTCTAAGTTAAAAGAAGACCGCCGAATAATACCTTTTATAAAAAAATTTCGAAAATGTTTATCTGTCAACTAGCACATGTAATCCACACAATTGCGCTAAACACAAGTTTATAAAAAAAAATATATATATATATATAGAATGGGAAATATAATCCGTATGTAAACTGAATCAAGCGAGAACATTATAAATTTCAGTTATTTTATTGCAACCGACTTACATGCACCAGATTATAGAAGCTATCTCGACGAGAGCCGGCCATAGACTGATACACTGTCTCTGTTAAACACGCAGGCGTTCGCGTTCTACCAAGCATATTACACCACACTCACTAGTTATTATATTTTACTTACTCTGTTTTCCTCAAATTATGGTTTATAGGAATAGAAAAGAAGAATTTTTAATATTTCTTTTTATGATTTATGTTTATTAGCTTATTAATAAAATATTTTTATAGATATTTACCTTATTTCTTTTATTTTTTAAACAATTTAAATACCTTATCTTTTACGTAATTGTGTGATTCAAAATACTAATCTCTAAAATTTGATATCTTCAAATTAATGGTATATAAGTTTACTAATGCTGTAATTATATTGATGCGAAGCGATTCCTCGTTATACTTACAATCGGCGATAAAGAGGTTCCTTTAACCTCGTCTTGAGGAGACGACCCAATCTTACCATCCGACCAACTTCCAATAGAAGTTTCTCTCGATTATCAAGGATGTCTCTTATACTTTCTTTCACACGTGCTTTTGCCGCTACGTCTTCATCTTGTGCAGAATGATACAGGGCTGTCACTGTTTCCGCCAAATTTTGTAATTCGGTACAATGCTTTAAATAAATTCATATAAAGTATAGAAGAGAGAGACTACTGTCTACACACACACACACACACACACGGAGAGAGAGAGATAATGCACAAAATAACAATTCTTTTGTCCTAGAATATTTAAGTAACTTGAGCAACTGTTGAATTTACATATTAAGTTAATATTAATTAATATTCATACATCTTCGACGTTTCTGTGAAAAACAGCGCATACTCGCAGCCTGGTTAATTGTTCCTGACTAACAGACCGAAACTGTCGCCAAGCCTGTCGTAATTTCGAAAAGAGATTAGCATTGCTTTCTAAAGATATTCTGCAAGATAATCTCAGTACCCGTGCTCCATTCGCCAATTGACCACCATACTCATAAGTTCCCTGTAAATATTTATCTCACTATATGTTCACCACACATATAATATTTCTACATAAAATAGAACAATTATGTATAATTATACTATTGTAACTCTCGATTTATTTTATAAAACTAATTTGTAACAGTAATCATGTTTTACTTTTGCTGTTTCCTGGAAAGATTGGTGCTCCTCTTTTTGGGATTGTATTTCCTTTACATTACATCCAATTTCCATGTGATTTTGAAGTAAAACATTAAATAAATCATTTAACCATTTAACAGCCTAGAAGGTGCAATAAACACATATATTTAATGTATTATTTATCCGTTAAAACATTTTTATATCTTGGTCCGTACTTACTTGTTCGGCATCGCTCTCGTACATGTATATCAAAGCTATCTGTTTTAACGACAGTTTCTGTAATTCCATGCTATCGTTAAATATATTCTTCCTGGCATTTGTTGCATCTAATATGTCTTTTACATTAATGATATCTTCATTATAATTTACACAAACTTCTCGACCAAGCGCATCCTTCACAGGCATAGAAAGAATGTCCGATAACTTTTCGCCTTCTTTTACAAGCTCGCGTTCTAAACTGTCTGAAAAATTATTCAAATATGAAACAAATTTTACACAAATATTAATATCTAATGAGTCATTTTTACCTAAAATTGTTTGACTTCTTTCCAAAGTTAAGAGCTTAATGCTCGCTTGAGAGAAATTGTAATTCCTGTTGCCCATAACCAACTGCTCGAATACTTCACTCGTCCTATCGAAGTACTGTAAGCAATAATAAACGGTAAAAAAAACCCTTTCTTAATTGACAATAATTCAATCAATAAAAATTTGAGTTTCACCTCAGAAACAAGTCTAAAGAATCTTTGCGAAGTGATTAATACATTTCTACGTCGTTCGAGCCGTGAGGCGAAGCTACGACAAACAAAGTCCATGAAATCTCTCTGAGATTTTAAATCTTCTGGTAGTCTATTTTTAGGTAGGCTATCGATTTTATGGAGTAGCTCTGCATATCGTCCATAAGTCTCCTATAAACATATTAAAATTATATCCATGTAATGCTCTTTTAACACAAAATGATGATATTAGAAAATTAGTAAGTTTTGCTCATTATTTACCCGACATTGAAGTTCAATTTTTTCGTGCTGCCTTCGGAGTTCTTCAGATGAAGAAACATCAAACCCAACCTGACAACAAGAGTTCAGCATTGTGTCCGCTGGACCCAAGATCCAGTCAGTAACACTCGATACACCCCTTTCAAGGTCTTGGATTACTCTGGCAGTATCCAGATTTCGTTCCATTTCTGCCCAAGAATTTTCAATATCCATCTGCAAATAACAGAAACAACATTGTAATATTGAGAAACAACTAAATATATAAAATAAATTTGAATAGACCAGTAATAAAAAATTGAATACCTGCTTTAGTTCGATAGAATCGAGTAACTTATGAATTCCTTGAATGGTATCCAAAATATCCTTGGAGGATTCTCTGCTCATTGAACTTACTAAATTCCTACCTAAATAAATGAAATTTATTTAACTTTATCCATTATTTTTACATAAGGGACGACACTTATGTACTCAAAATAAGTTATTATATTTTTATTAGCATGCCTGAATTTTTACAAACTGCATCAGACTTTTATCTCTTTCTTCATATTTAGATAACATAATTTTACTCATATAAAAAAATTTATAGAATTAAATAAAAATATATAAACCTGATTGAAGTATATGACGTGCCGTTGATAACAATTCTGTGCCCATCTCCCAATAAGATTCTACATCATTCGATTGCATCATACGAATACCATCAAGAGTATTTAATCTTTGATGTAAATTTGTCATCTTCGATACGAGCTCTAACGCATCTCTCGAATAATCTTCTATCTTCTATACGAAATAATAAGCACCAATTTGTTAAAAGAAAATTAACATATCATTCGCATTGAAGATTTAGTTTATACATATGGCCAAAAATGTCTAATTTACCATACGTTTTTTAATCCATTCGACGTGATTGTATGCCTTGTTACCTGCTAACTCGTACGGTAATTGAGAAAAGTCAACGTAAACATGCAGCCTTGTTAGAGTAACGTATATTGGCTAAAACAATTGACAGAAATAAAAGAAAATCAAAGCTATTATGTCATTATAATACGCACGAAAGCATAAAGCTACAATTAAAAATAATACAATAAAAAAAATTATTTTATATATATACATATATGTACAATATAATATTTTTTTTTTATTTTATTAGACTAATTCACTCACTTCGCCATCTTTGTGAGACTTGGTACAGCTATCGACACGTTTATCCCAAAAACCATCAGGCCGTATCACGATCACGCAAATAACTTTAGATCCTATAAGATTCGTAGAGAGCCTAATACAAGATCTAGTTACGCGCCATGCACTGCGACGCGCGTCTACAACTAGAACCAATCCGTTTTCCTTTGTCTCCTCGCTATATAGTTCATTACCAATAAATATTTAATTATGTATAAATAATGTAATTTTTAGTATAAGTATTATATAGTTAATAAGATATCAAAGATATTATCTATACCTGAAAATTGATGTAAAATATATAATGAGAGACTCTAATTTTGATTTTGTTGTTGAATCAAATTCCGGTGGAACACTAATTACTATTAAAGGTCGTCCGTCGTGATCACGACCACCTGGGACATACGCGAGTTTTGATTCTAGATCCTCCAGAATATCCGTTGCCTTCAAGTTTTTTATTATAGGCATCTCTATAACTGCTTGTTAAAGAAAAATGTCTTAGATAGTTGTAAATAATAAAATAAAACAACCAAGTTTGTTACTCTTAATGTTTTTACGCGCATCGACGTTTTAATTGTATTATGCAATTATATAGTATAATGGTACTCACCGGTCTAATAAATATAATGATCTCCACGCTGAACCGCATCGAAAATTTCGAAAACACTTAAAAGGTATTACAAGAAAACATTATATAGGCGCAGGACACGTCAAAAATATATTGAAATATTTCAAATGCATCGCAGAAATGTCGAGTATCAGCGAGCAGCTGCTTCAATTCTAGGCGTTACCTGTATATGTATGTATATCCACGTGAATGACAATTAAGCAAACTGCCGTGCCTCGTTAACTCGAGTCTGTCGCACGTGTTCCGCGTTAGTGACAGAAGAAAAATTTTCACATGCGTAGATACATGCACGTATATTTATGTGAAACATGCAGAAGTGCAGTGCACGATAAATGCAGTGCGCGAAGCTGCAACTGCGATGGAGGCTGCAGGAAAACCGAAAGCCATCTCTGGTCCTTTCAGATACAACGGTACTTTGGCACCGATTAACCGTGTGTTCCCCTTCCTTTATGCATGGCTCTTCTCTTCCTTTCATCTCTCTGTTTCTTTCGTCTCTCTGTCTCTCTGGAACCGCATTTTTTCTACTCCTTATTTTTCTCGAACAAAAATATGCAAGAAATATTTTAGGCAAGAAGTAACGGATATTACAGAAGTATATCACAAAGATATGTATGTCATAGACGTTGAGATAATTGTTGCGGATGAGCACGTGTAGGATTAATAGATATCTCAAATTACGTTATACTGTTATAGGCAAAATATTAAAAACTGTGTTTTTGAAGATATATTATCATAATTGTCTGAATAATCTATATAAAAAAGTCTATTTTGTATTTAGTTTTTGTTGTCTTGTTTCAATAAATTTTGATTAAATACATGTTTGATATGGATTTATTATCGCAGTTCTATCGAGATGCAAATTTTTTAATATTAATATTTCTAAAACCGTCTATTATATTTTAAGGTCTATTACATTTAAAGGTACTTTTAATATTTTACTTTTAATATTCTTTATATATTAAATATAAATTTATTCAGTTCTTAATATTTTTAATAGTTATTTTTGTTAATAATTGATATACATAATCGAGTCTCTTATTAGAGAGAACCCATAAAAAAATTATAAATTTTATTATAAATGTTCTCAAAAATTGATCGGTAAAGAAACTTAAAAAATTCACACATTGACATTATTAATGAAAGAGCTTATGTTTTAATTTTTATACAATTCTTAACATTTTTTATTCTCTTTACAACCTTCTTAATATACATTAATATGTAAAACACAACAAAGATGTGTGTGTGTGTGTGTGTGTGTGTGTGTGTGTGTGTGTGTGTGGGAGAAAATCGTGATTACGCGGTATTATGACAATATTCTAATTGTAAATTAAAATATTTTTGTAAATAATAAAAGTTCTTAAAAATAATTATTTTAAAAATATGATAAAAGACTTTTAGTATCTCGTACGACAAGAAACAATTTTCTAATACTTTAAACTGTACAATTATTTAATCAACTATATGATTCATTGATTTAAAATAAATGTTTTACAAGATAACAACACTTTTTATTATTTAGTAATTTGTAATTTATAACAAAATGTTGGGAAAATATCGATATTATTTCTTGTATAAGCTCACGTACTTACATAGTTCCAATGTATAGCATTTTGTGATCTTATTATAAAACGCGATGCAATCATACAAGACGATTGATATGATGTACGGTGTACACAATGGCTATTATAAACCTTTAAATATAAATTGCAAATATAAATATCTCTTACATCGGACATTACATAACATTCTTTCTGACCAAATTTCTCACATTTGAACCAGCAATAATCAAACAAATATGTATATATGCATATATATTTTTTTTGTTTTAATTTTTGTAAAGATATATATATCGATAGAAATATACATAAAGTCGAAGCACCAGTGAGACAAAGATAGACGTCGAGAAAAGCTGAAGAGATTTGGTGTCGCTACAGTCGTGGACCACGGGGAAGTTCGCCAGTGCTCAATCGAGCCTCGCGCTATATCAAGCATACTTGCCGTCTTTCTCTCTCCCTTCTTGGCCATCTCTTTCCTTTTCTTCTGTGTTTCTTTTTCTCTCTCCCCCTCCCTCTCTCTTTTCCTCTTTTTCTCTCTCTTTCCCAAGTTGGGCATCATCAAAGATCATTTTGCTTTTTGATCATTCATCAGACAGTACTGTAAATGTGATACTTTTGACATTTTGGTAGACGAACGATTGGAAAACTGATCAGAAACGAAGTAATCGTCGAGCTAGGCTCGACGAGAAGGAGGAGGAAGAGGAAACACGATAATGGGCAACGCCATCACGAAAGATTATTCGAGGAACATCTCCGTTGGCACCAGCTCGAAAAAGACACATTGGGATGGCCCAGGTAAATCAATTTATTGTTTTATTCGCCTTGTTTTATAACTCTTAATAATTTTTGAAATTGGAACTTGGAGAGCCACGATTTGGAAATGTCACGTCGCGTCGATTGAATTAAAACGGAAGAAATTCATTATTTCGATTAGATGCAATATTAATAACAACATTTGATATAATAAATGTTACATTCTAAAATGCATTCACATCCGCATAAAAATTTTATCCCTGTTCTGTCTTTTTTCTTTTCTTTATAATAACAAAATTATTATTTACGTGTAATTTAAAAAATGATAAACATTATTTTGATTATTTCCGGAAGCTATCATTTTTGCCCATGTTTTCTTATAAATATAAATTAAATATAAATTATTCAATCTCTTTTTACATTGTAATTACATTTAATAATGGTAAAAATATTGATTGCAAATAATTTTTTTATATACCGTACACAGTTTATGACTTAAATAATAACTACAACATTATCATGATTACAATCGAATTTAATTATATGTGTAAATGTAAGAATGTGTAACCAATAACTTTTCTTCATAAGGCTCGTCGTATGTAATGTCAGTAGTGTTAGTAGTGCAAATTTAAGATTTCAAAGATTAGAACAATTATTGATAATCCACGTTCAATTGAATAGTTTCGACAGTGAAACAGCTCTAATAGCATATCTTCATTGTTCACAATTAGATCCTTACTAACTCTAGATTGAAAAAGATCTAAAACACTTTTTTATTTACTGTTGTCCATTAATTATATACTATAGTATTATATACGACGTCTATTTTTTAAGTAATGTACAGTCTGTGAATATGATATTATGCAGAATCACAGTATATGAAATATTCAATCTGCGGATGGTGCGCCGGTTCAGTACTCTACTGCACTGTATACTGCCAAACGCGACGCATTTTATTTTAGGAACGATACTTACGTACCGATGTTGAAAATCATCTGCTCTATATACATACACGAGTCTAACAAGAATATATTTCTTGACATTATAATATTTTACCGCTTATCTTTTTCGACTTTTAAATAAAATTAAGTCGTTTGATTATGAGTTTTGATGAAGTTGTAGAAAGAAAGATTAAAGTAAATTTGATTGATAACAGGTCTTCCGGCTCCACCGGGCAGACCTATCTTGATATCGGGAACGAATGAAACGCAGCCGGATGTTGTGGCAATACGATGGGAGAGATCACCGAGTAACGGTGGATCGGCGATCATCGGATATTTGGTCGAGCATCGACGACTAGGCTCTCCTCATTGGGTACGAAGCACCTCCGGTCTTTGCGCCTTTCCAGAACTAACTTTAAGCGGTCTCGAGCCAGGATGGCGCTACCAATTTCGAGTCAGAGCGCAAAATGCACTTGGACTTTCACAGCCAAGCGAGGTTTCCGAACCGCTCACAGTTACCTTACAAAGGGCCGCCCTCGCTTGCGCTCCTCATTTCGATCTGGAACTTAAAGATACGGTTGCGCTTGAGAACGACCAGGTACGTATATATCTATATTGCACGCTAATTAAATCATACATATAAAAAACTTAAATGCATTTGTAATTTTTTTCAATATAGGCTGAGTTTGTCATACAATTTTCTGGCACACCATTGCCAAAAATTTCATGGTTTAAGGACGGCTTCGAGATCTTTAGTAGTAGACGCACCAGAATTATTACGGATAACGGAAAGAGCACTCTCTTGATTCACCAGACCGCGCTTAATGACGAGGGTGAGATTAAATGTACTGCCACCAATCGAGCGGGTCACATTGCTACTAGAGCTAAGTTAATTCTCGAAGGTTAGTAAATTGTCGACAAAAAATATATAACATGACTCTTTATAATATATAAATCACTGAATTATTTGTACGTTTAGCACCTCCACGGATACGATTGCCGCGTCAATATGAGGATGGTTTGCTTTTCGAGCAAGACGAGACCATTAGACTGAAAGTATCTTTAGCAGGTAGACCAACGCCTGTCGTTACTTGGTACCACGACGGAGAGCTGATATCTAAAGATACTAGGCACATATTTGAAGTGATGGATGGTGAATCAGTTCTGAAAATACCAGATGCCAAACGACGTGATCGAGGAGAATACACTGTTAAAGTCACGAATAAATTGGGCGAAGATACTGCGTCTTTTCTGGTCACTGTGACAGGTGATAATATTGCATTAATTTAGATCGAAGCTTAAATTTTATGTTGCAAGTTTGATAATTTATTTTTTTTCCAATTATCAACTCTATCAATAGATCGACCCGCTGCTCCCGGCAAAATAGCTGTTGCAATGACGCTAGGTAGATCGGTGACATTGTCGTGGAAGGAGCCAGAGGATGACGGCGGATGTAAAATCGGGACTTATATCGTCGAATACTACAGAGTACGTAATCGGAACTATTATTTCCATCCGTATAAATCTTCAGAAGTTTGGCAACGATTGTTTTAGGTTGGCTGGGAGGTATGGCTTAAAGCAACTACGAGCAGGCGCACCACCACGACATTAACAGAACTGATCGAAGGTTCCGAATACAAGTTTCGCGTAAAGGCTGAGAATCCTTACGGAGTCAGTGACCCTAGTGAAGAAAGTGATGTTATCTTTGTTCCAGACATTAAACGAAGGTATTTTATTATCGATAAATATTTAAATTTAGCACACATTTGTTTGCGCAACAATAAATCTATAATTTTACGTTGTAGAATCGTAACACCGTCTTTGAATGAAAAGTCGCAAAGTCATCGAGAAATCAGCAGATCTCGTAGCGATAAACGAGAGGTGAGTTTCACTATGCCAGCGCAGAGAACTAGAAGTTTAACGAGAGAAGAAGCGAAAATACGAGACGATGAAAATAATAGTCACATTGAATACAACGAGCGATCAGCTTCAGTGCAACGGCTCGCAATGTCAACTTCTACATTAGATAGACCGTCCAGAGCAGACAGTAGAGTAACATTTGCACTGGATACTTTGAAAAAAGAACAACCTCTGATTCCTCCAGCCAGATCAAGAGAGCACAATTTTACGAAGCAACAAGTTGCTATTGGAGATTATACAAATCGATCAAATATTGCGGAAAATGTGAGAGACAAGGTAAGAAATAATCAAGTATTAAAAATATTATAATTGAATTTTAGATTAAAAGAAATAAAAATACATTTATTATTTTTTGCAATGTAGCAAGATATCATTACAAAGGAAGAAAGAACTATGACTTCGAAATCAGCAGCAACCGTGCCAGTCTCTTCTTCAGTTATCGAACAAGATACCGTGTCGCGCTTTATAACAAAAGAAAGGAGTCTCTCTCCACTCTACGTGCCAGGAATTCAAGAACACCGAAGAGAAGAGAATTGTCCCACAGCGAGCCACCATTTTTTACTATCTTCAAATTCAATTTCAAAAAAACAGAACGCCGTTGTAAACGAATCCATACTATATCTACCGGATAGTCCACAATCGCAAGGAATACTGCAAGAGGATGATGAGAACGCATTGCACGGCAGCTCGGAGTTTATGCTTGTTCTGTATCCGGAAGATGAAACACGAGAGAAAGATACAATCGACATGGAGAACTCTGCAGAAACTCGAGTCAAAAGCAGCATAAGTAAGAGTATAAATAAAAACTTTTGACTCAAATATTTTGAAAAGAAAAAGAATTCTGCGTGTATGGCTAACTTTATAATTATTGTTTCAGATGGCAAACGGAATATAATCGAATTGACAGAAGATGATAACGATCTTATACCACCGCCGATATCGTTATCTCTTCCCGAATTATTTAGTACGCAGCATCAAGTGGTGGAAATAATGCGAGAAGCGGTTAGCTCTACCGAGCTTCTTCACGAACGAGCCATGGAACGTTTCTATCGCGCAGTTGCTGCTGAAGAAGCATCTGAAATTACCAAACAAAAGATGCAATTTGAGAGACAAACCGAATCGATGCTATTAGATGTTGAATCTATTCAGAAACCATCGCTTCGAAGACGTCTATCTAATTCCGGTATCACTACACAAAATTTAATTGCTTCCTGGCAGGCCAAAAAAAATCGTCGAAGATCAAGCGAAGGCCAAACAGATGCAGCCCCGAAAACATTGAAACTTCTTTCGCCAGTTTTGTTATCGGATGTCGAAGCCAGATCAGATCCAAATCTTCCCTCTGAAACGATAATGGTAGATCCCTGGGAAAAAAGCAGCAAGGTCGAATCCGTGGAACGTCTGCGTAGATGGCACGAAGCTGATGTATCATTACTAGAAGAAGTGCAACGAGAAAAATCAATGCAAACAAATAATGAAGAGAAGATAATAATTCCACCATCCATCACTGTGAATAAAGTAGAATCTCAATCGTTGATTCAAACGAAAGCAGAGGAAGAGGAGGAGAATAACAGCATTGAGACTTCCGAAGAGTCGTCAGAAGAGATCAGTAGCGCAGATAGCGAAGATTTAAAATTATTAAAATCAAGGATCCTAGCAAGACAAATTATCGATGAAGAAGATACTTATCATCCTAGAGGAAGACCAGTCCCACACGTCGAACCAGAATTATCACAAATTCCATATGATAGATTATCAATTTATGAAATTTCGTCTCTTCCACCCATCAGAACAGTTACTTCTGTCTCGCTTAATAATGTAATGCCTAAATCAATTCTAAAAAAGCCCAAAGAGGAATTAATTCTTCAGGACAATTTTGACAGATCGACTCCTCCGGAGAAACCAATCAGAAAGTCGTTATCGCAATCGTATCAACAAGAAGATATAGAAAAAATAAATATGGACACCAACGACAGAATTTCGACTTTTTCTAGCATATCAGAGGCTCTAAAAACATCTACGATGTCGGAATCGGATACGGATAGTATTATATCTGCGGCAGAAGCAGCAAAAAATCGAAGAATGCAATCGAAATTGCGATCCATAACACCTGAAGAAGAAGCAGCCGAAATAGAAGCTAGAATGGCTGTTGTGAATCAATACACCGAGATAGTTCGTGAACACGCGAGTCATTCGCGACATGGTAGCGCGGCTAGCTCTCGAAAGTCCTCCATTTCCGAAGATCAGGATCAACAGCATCGAACACAGGAAAAACTTGCGCCATTAACAGATAAACAAGAGCAGGATGAGATATTGAAATTAAAAATTAAAATTGAGAATGAAGGCGACAGACAAAAGAAAAATAATCAAACGTCAAATTCCAGAAGAGAAAACATTGATTCCAGGGGTACGACTCCAGCGAGAGACACGATAAGTGCGAAGGAAAAGCGCGTCAGAAGTAGACCAAGCTCCAGGGACCAATCTCCAGTCGCGAGAAGAAGTGAAAAAGTAGGAGGTGCTTCTTCGAGATCATCTTCGAAAACCCGAAATCGCACACCTTCTCAGGAAAGAAATAATCGATCCTTAACGAAAAATGTTTCAAACGAGCAAAGCCCTCGTAGATCTAAAATATCATCTAGACCTTCCTCGCGCTCTTCATCGAGATCAAGTTCTAGAGAAAGATTTGGAGCGACAGTACCAGTAGAATTAAAGGTTGAGAAATTGCAGAAAGCACTCGAGAGTAGCAAGTATCGAGAAATAAAAAAAGAAATCGAAGTAACCAAAGAGAACGTCAGAAATAACACTCCTGATCGAACAAACGGAAAACAGTTAGCTCTAGAAGCTAAAAGAACAGTCAGATCGACGGTGAGCTATATAACCGATTTGACATTGCTATTAGCTGCAATGTATATTTATTTCTTTAAAAAAGAAACCTTGGCGGTCCCGTTTATCGTGCTTCTCCTATATCGAAGAGTACAGGAAGAAATACACGAGTGGATGCCACGTCGTTGGAGGCGATCTACCAAGAAACACTAATTGACCGATGTAACATTGCAGTCACATATATTTCACACATCCCATGTATTAATAAAAATATTTTAAATGATTAAGGAGACTCAATATATTGTACACTAAAATGAAATTGTATTATATATTAAATCGCAAACTATTTATAGCATTCTCCGTATGTAATTTAATCGAAACTTGTTATCGTTATCTGTTTTATTTATAATGAATGTTAATTCTCTACTTCTAATAAACTGTATTATATATACGTTTTCACCAAATTAGAATACGAACTATTACATACTCCATTATATTTTACGTTATATTATTATGTTATATCTATGTATATATATATAAATATATATTAATATTATTATTAAGTATCAA